TTGAGTGGGTAGGAGAAAGAGTCACTTGCTGGTGTACTGCTTGGTTAGCTGACAGAAGAAGGCTGAGAAGAGCTGTGATTCCAGCTGCAGTCTTTGCTGTGTCCTTGTTCCAAAGGTTGTGATCCGAGGAAGCCAGTCACTCAGGGTCCTTGCAGAGTTGGACGCTGAGTGCTAACTCACTTAGTTCCTTGTTGCTGGAAAGCTGGTTGCAAACCTTGTGATTGCAAGTCTAACTTCTCTGGTTCAGGTTTGCCTCAGCCTTGAGCGTGGGCAAGCCGTGGTCCAGGAAAAAGAGTCTGTGAGCAATTGCCCCACCTTTGATGGTTCAGGGCAAGGAGCAAGGGCCTGAGCATCTGGGCTGTTCCAGGCCCAGCAGGAAAGAGGTGAGAGCTGCTTCGCAGTTCCAGAGTAAGCAGTAGGACACACCGGATGCGGAACCGAAGCGCAGCGCCCAGCAGCAGAGGCAGTTTTCAATCGGCACCCATGTTAACCTATCTGACTGTCCACACAGGCTGCTGAGCAGAGCGGAGCGCCCATGGAGGCAGCGCTTCAGTTCGGCATCTGTTCTATTTTTCACGCGAGCTGCGAGCGCTTCTGTTAAGCTGGATAGAGCGATCGTACCAAACAGGAAGTCGGACACAGAAAAGACGAGAGAATCTGGCCAATTTTCAAAATAAAATAAATTTAAAAAATAAATGCCTGTTTAATTATGATGCTTGTCCGTCTATAAATATTTGTTCCGTTTTTTCGACCTCTATCCTGAAATACTCGACGTGGTGTCCACTGTCCAGGCGTAGTTCAGACACAAGGTGATGAAAAACACCATGATCCTTCCTTTTTTGGTTTATTGGTTGGACCCACATTCGCCTTCTCCGTCGTCGGAGCTACCGCTGCAAAAAGTAGAGAGCAAGGACTCTCCTCTCTACAACAGCACGCACTGAGGAACGTGAGGAGAAAATACTGTGTCTATAATTTAAAATAACACAACAGTGCATAACCGAACACATTTTTCAATACCCTAATCACTTCATTACAATTTTAATTTTGTGTCACCGAGCCTACAGGCATAACTACATAAATAAAATTGTCAGAACAATATGCCCTATTCATTCAGTGTTTATCCAACACGTTCAATACATGGACATGCAATGACAAATTGCCATTAACTTATTACATTATAAAAAAAGCTGAAATTATGGACTACCCATGTTTAAAATGACCTGTTTAAGTGAAAAAATGAGTACTGACGGGAACAGACGAGTGGAGTCGATGTTTAACCGGCGCGGAGAGTGCAGGAGAAATGCACTGCCTGTGTGGACAGTTAAGCGCCTGCAAGTACACTCACAGGACTTCCGCAGCACTAACGCGTCCGGTGTGTCCTTAGCGTGAGAGAGAGATTTGTCTGAAGGGAGCAGACCTTCTACAGATGCCTGTGACATCACAGAGTCACATGTCACTCTAAAAGTCCTGTCCAATCAAGTTGTGAGACTTGTGTCTCACTGAGGTGTGAGGTGAGACCTCCTGGAGATGGGTGTCAAATAGCTGTCTTTGTTTGAAGACAAAGAGCATGCAGAGAGACGAAGCCTGTCCAGTTTAGATTTTAACAAATGACAAATCATATGTGGTCCTGTGAATCCCAACAAGGGATACAAGCGGTGGAAATGAGTTTCCTCTGTGGGGTGGCTGGGCTCAGCCTTAGAGATAGGGTGAGGAGCTCAGACATCTGGAGGGAGCTCGGAGTTCGTGTCGAAAGGGGTCAGTTGAGGTGGTTCGGGCATCTGACGAGGATGTCCTGAGCACGTCCCACTGGTAGGAGGCCCCGGCGCAGACCCAGAACACGCTGGAGGGATTACATATCTCGTCTGGCCTGGGAACACCCTGGGGTCCCCAAGGAGGAGCTGCAAAGTGTCGCCGGTGAGAGGGATGTCTGGGGTGCTTTGCTCGGCCTGCTGCCCCCGCGACCAGGCCCCAGATAAGCAGATGAAAATGGATGGATGGATGGATGAATTTGTTCTTGGGCTGAATGTTCACATCGACATGCTAACACTCTTTCAATGGCCATGCTAACATGCTAATGCTAAGCAGATAAAGTGTTCACCTTGTTATAGCATGCTAATATTTAACACAAAGTACAGCTGAGGCTGATGGGATGTTCTGATGGTGTCTGATCATAAATCAAAATATTGGACAAAAGTCAGTTTTTGTTAAGTGTTATGTCATAAAATTTGTCATAAAAAGGTCATAAAAAGTCACAGTATATCATAAAGAAGTCATTACAAATATCATGGTATTACAGATCATAGAAGTCATTCTGTGTGCTCTTTTCCTGTGCTGTCCTCAGTTATATGCTGGCTCCCTGAAATGGCACTCAGTCATCAAAACATTAAGAACAACTGTNAGAAGTCATTCTGTGTGCTCTTTTCCTGTGCTGTCCTCAGTTATATGCTGGCTCCCTGAAATGGCACTCAGTCATCAAAACATTAAGAACAACTGTTACGGCCGCTGCCGCCGTACCCCCGCCTCATAGTGTAACTTTGTGCATAGTTGTGTGTTTCATGCTGAGCAGGCTGTGTGATCCCCTGCACCTGATTGGCTCGCACTGAGGAGGCGTGCCTTCCCTCCACCTTCCACCTCCTGCGTTTGGATTGGTGCAGTATCACATCAGCTCTACCAATCCCCAGGCTGCAGCTGAGGAGCCAGGCTATATAAGACTCAGCCAGCTCATCAGTCACAGCGGCTGTAGAGCAGCTTGCCAGATGTGTCTCATGAATGTTGTAAATGTTAATTGTTGCATTAACTTCAATGTTGTGAATTACATGAGGCACTTGAAAGATACCTAGGACTGGGCTAGGGAACAGTAGAAATGGGATTTATGGCTCTTTGAAGGGAGCTGGATCTTAGAGATCGGTTCCTTTCAAAGAGCCATTCAAAAGACTGGCTCATTTTTACATTTATTTTTTTTAAGAAGCCAGCCTGGGGGTAACTCATTTTATCCTGGAAATAATCACTGGGAGGAATGATGGGGTGAAATTTGGATCAGAATAATTCAAACTCAGATATCCCACCAATATATATTCTATTGGTGGAATATATGAGATGGAATTATTCTGAAATATTGTTTATAACTTCATTTGACATGTGTGGACTAGATTTTAAAGTCTGATCTGGATTCATTGTAAATATTCCACAAGGTGGCGCCATATCCCTCTGCTTTGACAGTGAGATCACTATTTTGGATTTACTCTTTGTATAAAGTGTGTGTGTGTGTAAATAAAGCTACCTTGACTTATGTTATTCATGCAACACCTAAAAACTTATACACAATAAAAAACTAAGCAGGCAAGGTTTTTTTTTTTGTTTTTATTTTACTGAGTCACTCACGTGAAGGCAGTGTGCACAACTCAGATGACGTCATGCGATATTTGCATATCAAATAAGCACTGCATGTGTACTCTGCTGCGCTCCTCCCCTTGTGCCTGTTCTCCGTCTCACTCAGTGGAGGAGCAAAGGAGGAGCTTGTGTGTGCATCTGTGTGAAACACAGCGATAAAAACAAAACAAAAACGAATGGCTCCCAACTGCGACTCGGTTCCCATCGTTCATGTTAATGAGCCGTTCAAAAGATTCGGTTTGTTTCTGACCGTCACAACTCTAGGGAACAGAAGGTTCAATAACTGATTTCGCAAACCGATACACGTAGGTATTTTTTCTGTGATTAGAGACACTAGGATAAGGGGTGCTGTTCTGCTTGTGTTATGTTTGAACTAAGCGAAAGTTAATTGCCGATGATTTTGGTTTGCTTTTGATTTACTTAGTCTCCCTATTAGTAACTCTATTTTTGAGAGTCCTCTTTTGGTTCTATTTGTTTCTTTGATTTGAGCAGCATCCATCAGCCCGTTTCCTTTAGCTTTGCCTTGCAATTTCTGTTTGCCAAACCTTGTTTAATAAATAATTTTGCTTTTACCAATTACAGCTGGTTTATGTTGCTTCCCTTTTCACACCACAAGCTAGGGGTCGTAACAACAACTGATCGAAGATTTTTGTTTCAAAATGCTCTAAAATGGTCAGTTTAGACTTTATTGTCCCCAGAGGGGAAATTCTTTTCCACAGCACCACAACAGTTTGACCAACATACAGAACAGAACAGACACCATTGCACATACACATACGCACATTGCACAGGACATTTGGACAGGGACAGAAACAACATTATATACTTCACCTCAGTTTCTTGCGGGATCTATTGTTCAATGCCGCTATGGCTGACGGGATTAGGCTTCTGGATAGAAGAGCCTTCCTGCAGCGCATTGGCCTGTATCTATGCACTGCAGGAAGACTTTTCTATCCAGAAGAACAGTTTAGCTGGTAAGTTTCTGAAAATGTCCACTCAGACCCCTCTGCAGGGTCGCACAAGATATCTGTTGAAATGATGAGTACAGCCCTGACTCCACTTCATCTCAGAGGTAAATATTGTATTTTTTCACGGCACTACATTTTGTCTGACAGATTTAGTTACTTTACAGAAGTTATTCATCCCCGTCCCGTCCAGTGAAAACCATGTATCTCCTGATGTGTTGATTTTAAATGTTTGTGATAAACTGAAGGATGTAATGTTCCTTATCATATAACTGAAGTGCATCATGATATTGTTCTGATAAGAGCTCTGTAGCCACAACAATATATCAGTGTACTGTAATGAAAGACCATAAAACATATAAAACACTTGCCTGCCATGATGAGCAAAAGAACTGTGTCCATCTCTGTCTGCTGTTGTTTGCTGCTCTTCCTTTGTCTGAATGCGTGACTTCAGTGTTGTAGCTGTTGAAACAGCTCTTTGTTACACCTGAACAGTGCACAGTTCCTTGGTATCATGCAAACTGGTTCCAGTAACAATTATTTGAATGTTACGCCTTTATTTAGATGAGTTTATTTTCAGGATCATAGGCCTTTACTTGTTCAGGTGTTGCAAATAGGATGATTTGAATTCTCCATCTTTCACAGAGGACACGTGACCTCTGGGTCAGAACACAGGTCAGCTAAGACACGCCGATGAACAACAGAGTGCTGAGTGCCAACTGGTGACGAAGCTGCCAGTTCATCAAGATACGATCTGCTTTTAAGGGCCAGTATCCCATGGTCAGGATGATCTCTGGCTTTCATCAAAGACTCAGAGACAAAGGACAAAGAAGCTGACCTAAAATCTACATTGATTGACATGTTATGCTGAGCTCACACAGTAACAATAGGAAGCTTTGTTGTAACATGGTGGTTTTCATGGAACCAAAACTTCTGTAAAGGAGACTTTAAAGTAAAGAATCAACCAGAGAGTTTTATTGATTGTCAGGATCCTAGTGTATTTCCATTGTTTTCCCTCCCCTTTGGTTTTTGTCTTGTCTTCCTGTCTTGTGGGTGTGTGTGTCTGTCTGGAGCTGGGCGGAACTGGAGTCACCACTCACCTGCACACCTGCCAGCCATCAGTAATCAAGCCATCTCCACTCCACTCTGTATGAAAGCCTGGTCCAGTTCACATCTCGTCTGCTTACCTGTGTGGTAGTGTGCTTTGGCTCATGATTCTTTGTCTTTTGAACTTTAGTTTTTGGTCATCTGTTAGCTCTCCGGATTTTGACTCTGTTCTCTGCCTCTTAGATTGCTCCTGTCTTGCTGCACTCAGCCTCACCCAGCCTCATACCACCACGTCCATACCCACCTGGATCCTTCTGGACATTCTCTGGACCCCTCAGACTCCGCAACCCCCACCCCACCCAGCTCCAGCTCCGCCCTTCTCTGTTTACAATAAAAGACTTTGTTCATCTACCAGCAGCTTTTCTGAGTCTTATGTCTGCACTGTGGGTCCAGGTTTGACACTTCCTTTATGACATTGATGGGAGGGGTTAACATTTCACACCAGTGACCTGATCTCAGATTTGGAAGAGAAACTAATAAGCATAAGATCATTTGATCTCCCATCAAGAGAGAATCATCACTGAATTGCTTCCAAATCTTCCCTGCTGCTTTCCAAACTCTCAGCTGCTCAATGCGGTGCATTAATTCAATGAATTAATGCAGTGCCCTTTTAAAATGTGCCTGTCCTGAATGGACTGATTGCTCGGCCTCTGGTACATCATCCAAACCGCCGTTATTGACCAGCGCACGCCATTATTGGACAGTGCATGGACACTCACCCTCTTGCGATTGGAATTTGAACTTATCCCACAGTAGTGGTACGTGAGGCACCGTAGTACTACGGTTCTCCACCCTGCAACACTAGTGACATCAGCCAATACTGCATGTAGTTTTTAAGAGGCCGTTTACACGTACACGGTGATTTTGATAAACGGAGACATCTTCCTTCGTTTGTGCCCTTCGTTTACACGCAAACGGAGATTTCTCCTCTGAAAACGAGTCTTTCTAAAAACTCCGGCCAGAGTGGAGATTTTGGAAAACTCCGGTTGCGCGTTTGCATGTAAACTGAGATAAACGGAGATAAANCATCCAGGTCATAGTAATCGTAAGTGCTATATCATAGGCAACTGGACTTGCTTGCATTTCTTGAAGACGTTTCGCCTCTCATCCAAGAAGCTTCTTCAGTTCTAAATGACTGATACAGAGTTGCTGGCTTTAAACCCTGTGTGGGTGGGAACACCTGCAGAGTCGTTAGGGTCACAATGTGAGTCGTTGGCCCACCTGGCCACCATGTGAGTTGTTAGGGTCAGGTGGGACCAGGGGTGAATGGGTGTGAAGTCGTCTGGGGAGGGATCCCAAGACTGCACTGTAGGTAGGTGATAAGTGGTGTCGTAAGCCACCCCCTCTGTTTAACGATGGTCCTTCCAGCTTGACGTAGATGGCTTCTTTTACTCCTCTCTCAAACCATCTTTCCTCCCTGGCCAAGATGTGCACATTGCTGTCCTCAAAGGAGTGTCCCTTCTCCTGTAGATGGAAGTGGACAGCTGAGTCTTGACCCGAGGAGCTGGCAGACACTCCTGCGACATAAGGAATGACAATGCTGTTATGTTTTTGTGTCCCTTCCTCTCTGTCTGCTCTGGGTCTTTTAGAGGTTTTTGCAAAGGCCCATTTGGGGTCGCCACAGGTTTGAAGTGCTTCCCTGATGTGTTTCTGTTCCTGTACCTTCCCCTCTGTCCTTGTGGGCATGTGCATTCGGTTCAAGAGTGTTTATTTTTTTTTTAAAAATACGATTTTTGCTGCTGGAGTCCTGAGAAAAAGAGAATTATAAGTTTAAGACAAATAACTTATTTGACAATATTAATAAATATCTAAAACTTTTACCATATAAAATGTACAAACTACAATATAAAATGGAAAGCCAATATTCAATGTAGTAAGTAAGTCGGCAGGGCACTTACCACGGGGAGATTGAATCCCAGACCCCAATAATTACCACCACGTGAGCCCACTGTGAGCCCTAACACTGCAATCTACACTGCAAGGAGAGGCAAATCTACAAGACACTCAAGTGACACCACTGTTTGGCCTACCACACTGCATACAAGGGTGAGGATCCCACATGTACTCCTGCAGCTTGTCCTGCTGCCTGAAGAAATAAAACAAAACAGGATGAATTTCAGTTGATTCAGCTCACAACAGTGAAACGGACAGTAGTGCATCCAATTATGACAGTGTAGCAGTTAGTCATTAGAATAACCATACACCAATCATGGACAATTCATGCTAAAACTGAGGTTGAGTTCAATTCAACAAAGTAGACAAATTAGGTCACACAACATAGATGGACTGGTTCAGGCAACGCAGCAGTCTGGCACTTAGTCTGCAATCAGGTCAAAATTATTTCCATCAACTGCCAAAAATACTTTGGAGGGGTTAACCCTTACAGAGTCTTTGAGGTCACATATGTGCTCTTAGTTTCTCAGTTTGCTAACAACTCTGAAACTAAGAGCTCACATGTGACCTCAAAGACTCCGTAAGGGTTCACACCCACACAGAGTTTAAAGCCAGCAACTCTGCACCAGTCATTTAGAACTGAAGAAGCTTCTTGGCTGAGAGGCGAAACGTCTTCAAGTCCAGTTGCCTATTATTTAGCACTTATGATCACACCAGTTGAAGTTACCTTGCTCACTCTGAGGCCCTGATTAAAGGAGACACTGGGAAGATCAGCAGGCTGACTACTCAGGCTCAGACAAGGGGGAGACAAGGACTGAATTTCCTAAAAGATTAAATTATTGTATTAGTGATAGGCCTACAGTCAAACAAACAAAGCAGTTATCTGTGGCCTACCTCTTCAACGTGGAGCTGCAGAGCATATATCAGTCAGGATCAATCAGGACACAGCTTCACTACAACTAAAACTGAGAAACTTCATTAGGTTTCAAGTCAAACCATACGAGCAGTGTTTCTCCCCAGATCTGCCTTACCTGCACACACCAAGCAGTCCCATCACACATCTACCAGTAGGGACTGATTGCCCACGCCTGTCCTTATAAAGGCAGGAAACTCTCTCTAACCCTACCTACAGAGGGCAGTGCTCTCACCTGCTCACATAAAGTTTGCTGAAATATGTTCACACTCTTTAACACATTCATTCCTATGGGCTGCTCCACAGTGGTACAGTGTTGTCTGAGGGAAACATTCAGACAAACAAACTTATGAAAAGAGTT